CGGCTCTGACAGAACTCCCCTGCCTATTTCGGAGTCTCAGAAGCTCCCAGTTGTCACGGTTCCGACCCCCTCGGTGTGGAAAGCCACTTTTGGCCCTGCCCCATCTGACAGACGCGCCCACTTCTACCTGGAGACTTTGACAAAGTACTCGGTGTCATGATCTCGTTAGCCTTCTGACCTATCTTCTTGCCTCTGTGGGACTCAGACTGGGCAGGGAGCGACCTTCCTAGCCCCCTGCCCTATTGCATTCTACTGGTCGTCTCCGAAGCCCATCTGACACAGTTCTTTCATCCTCAGAGCTCTTGTTCAGAATTCGACTCCATCGCCTCCCAGTACTTCCCATCCCTAACCCTTTTAATGAAAACTTAGACTAAGAAAACCATCCTTGATTCCCTCTCCCTACATATCTCTTACCGGAGGAGGCATCCTCGCTCGATGGAAGTTTAAGTAACTTCGTGCAAACTTGTGTCGTTCCCATTCTTGCTGTCCCCAAGTTGGTCCAGGCTCCAGATTCTTACATCGTTTCATTTACAGTTCAGCCGATGATGAATAGATTACTGCTGGGACTTGCTCTTGTATTTGAAGTTCCAGCTCCCTTGTCTGGTGGAGATCTCCCCCTCCCTGTCCTCAGCTTCTTGCCTCCCGACTCTGGTCTTTATCTCTTTTGACGTTCCCACCTTTGCCCCCTTATAAGTTCTATCCAGAGAGACATTTCCTTTAACATGTCTTCAGACAGGAGTCTCCTTTCAAACTTGCAACGTGTTCTCAGATCAGTGAACCTTCTGCTTGGCTAAAACTGCTGTTTGTCTTTCTTGTCATTGGACAATCTCACTGTCTCTGCATTGTGCTGCTGTGGGGGTTTATGGGTACAGCCTCAGCTCTCATGGAATGAGTGGCTTGCAGAAGTGAGAGCAGATGCCAAGGATGAGGAAGTATTATTCTTTCAGTCCTCTTCTTGGGGTGGACAGCCTGACTATTGATTGGGCTGAGCCTGTCTCCTCCACCCCACAGGCCTTTGTTCTGAGGAAAACACAATGGTGGCCATGGACTTGGGGTCTCCCTTACTCCCAAAGAAGAGCCTGCCTGTCTCTGGGACCCTGGAACAGGTGGCCAGTCGGCTGAGCAGCAAAGTGGCTGCAGAGGTTCCTCATGGCAGCAAACAGGAGCTGCCAGACCTCAAGGGTGAGTGGCCCAAGTGACAAGGCTTGTGTGCTGGCCAGGGTAGTCATGCTCACAGAAGCACTCTCTGGCCTGGTCGTTTAACATAGGTCCCCAGGCTAGCACTCATCTTCCTTCTAGCAATATGACGCTCCCAGGAGGTGGATACCCAGCTGTCTTCTACATTGAGTTTCAATAGCTTCGGCCATATGTGTGGCCCTCAGCTGCTACCTTTCTGGGTGAAGAAGGGGCATCCAGGGAAGCAGTGGGCATGGTCGGCAAGAGATCACACGCAAACCCAGGTCACTAGCCAACCTTGTTAGTTCTGAACCTTTCATGTGATAAGTATTTGTTTTTCTCTAGACTACAAGGCTGTTCAGAGTAATGATAAGCATCTTGCTAGTTACTAGGTGTGTTAAGAGGGGCAAAACCAACCTCGCCTTTGTATCATTGAAATTGGGCAGGGAGGCCAAGAAGCAGATGGGGAGTGGGCAGGGGCTGTGGCTAGTACCTCTGACTTATCATTTGAAGTATGCATCAAGTTACAGAGAGTAGGGTATGTATCAGCTCCATGTGTGATATATGTGTACGTGTACATGTATTTGTGTAAGCATGCTGCCGGGGCACCCTGGTATGTTGCAGGTCTTGAAAGGCATCCCCACTGACTGGACCACAGAGATTGCAGCCTCCTTCTGTGCGCCCTTGGACACAACTCTTCCCTTCTCTGAGCCTCAGTTTCCTTACTTCCAAACCAGAAATACTAATGCCCACCAAATTACAATTGTTGTCAGGATCAAAGGGATTTGGCAGAAACAGAATACTTACTTTGAACCTGGATAAGGGGAAGAGAATGGGGATTAGTATACCTGTAAGGCCTCATAGCCTTTCATCCTGGCCCCCATCTCACCTTCCAGCTCAGAGCCTGACTACCTGTGAGGTCTGCGGTGCCTGCTTTGAGACACGAAAGGGCCTGTCCAGCCACGCACGTTCACATCTGCGGCAGCTGGGGGTCGCAGAGTCAGAAAGTAGTGGTGCTCCCATTGACCTTCTCTACGAGCTGGTGAAGCAGAAGGGCCTGCCCGACGCTCCCCTTGGGCTGCCCCCCAGCCTGACCAAGAAGTCCAACTCACCAAAGGAGTTGGTTGCTGGGGCCACTAGGCCTGGCCTGCTCAGCCTGGCCAAACCTATGGATGCCCCCGCTGTCAACAAAGCCATCAAATCACCTCCAGGCTTCTCAGCCAAGGGCCTGGCCCACCCATCCAGCTCTCCAGTTCTCAAGAAGGCCCCACTGACTCTGGCAGGATCTCCTACACCCAAGAATCCTGAGGACAAGAGCCCCCAACTATCCCTGAGCCCCCGGCCGACCTCCCCAAAGGCACAGTGGTCCCAGTCTGAGGATGAAGGGCCTCTGAATCTCAGTGAGTGTGGGTACTAGGAGCCGAGGGGGGTGCTGGGGTATTACATGGTCCTCAAATGAGGATGACACAGGGTAGGAACTGAGGCCTACAGCTCCCAGGTCCTGGGTCCCCCAGGTCAGTACTGCTCAAAGCACTCATTATGTCTCCCTATTGGGCTGTCCTTAGGTGATCGTTTTTTTCCCATTCTGCTGATCTTCCCCTAGGGGCCTGCTAGAGTCCTACTTGCCACTTGAGAGGAGCTTTTGCCCTTCTCTGGACTGATGGTGGGGTGGTGAAGGGAACCAGGGTACCTGTGGACCTGGCTTTCCTAGTGGGAATCTGGGATATTTTGAATCATACAGGTAGATGGGTAGTCAGTCTACCAGACAGGAAGTCCTTACACTGCCCCTTTTTTTCATGTCTCCTGGCCATATGTGCTGAGGCTTCAGCCTCTACTATGGCTGCTTTGCACTTGGCAAGTTGGATTTGGGAAGAAACCCTCCAAGTTGAGCTGTCAGGTTTTGAGGTGTCCTTCATGCTTTCCCATATGTTTGCAGGTATTAGAGCCTGGTGATACCCGTGTTTCCTGCTGTGGTTTTGGGGTAGGGACGTTGGGTAGTCTGGTGCCCCCTGCTCTTCATCTCCAGTCTTCCCCCATGGCTCTCCTAGCCGAAGTCCCAAGAGAGAGGGCCTGGAGCATTAGGGTTAGCACAGGTCTACATCCTTAAGCTCCCTGCCTTCACTTGATGCCAATGAGCTACGCAGGGAACAGGCTGTTAGAACCTCTAAAACTCAAACAAAAACCTGTCTGCAGCATGAAACTTGGAGCCCTAACCACCTGGGCAGCTGAAAATCACAACAGACAGACCCTCCTGCCTTCATCCCCTAGGGCCGACCAAGGTGGCGGCCGTGAACCCCCTCCCCCTGTGTTTTGTCTCCGCAGCTTTAGATAGTGACGGGGGCAGAGAGCTGGACTGCCAGCTGTGCGGTGCCTGGTTTGAGACCCGCAAGGGCCTGTCCAGCCACGCCCGCGCTCACCTGCGCCACCTGGGCGTCAGCGACCCGGATGCCAAGGGATCCCCCATAGACGTGCTCCACGGGCTCATCAGGAGGGACGGCATCCAGATCCGCCTCCCACCCGGGCGGGGAGCCCTGGCCCAGCTGGGGCGGCCTCCTTCTGCCTCCACGGCCCTCTCCTTGCTCCCTCCCCCACCGCCGGCCAAGAAGGCCAAGCTGAAGGCCTCGGGTATGGCCATCCCCTGGGGGAAGCAGGACCTCTCGGCCGCCGGCATTTTCTGGGCCTCTGATGTGGAGCCATCTCCTCTCAACCTCTGTAGGTTCTCGCTTCAGCTGCCCTTCCTCCCTGTGGGCCCTGGAGCCCCTCCCTGGGGGGTCATGGCCCCCTTCCTACTCCCTCCCTGTTGTTGTAGGGAGTAGATAGGGGCCCTTGGCAGTGGGCCAGCTCAACCCAGAGATTTTGTTGGCAGTGGGCTGCTGGTGTCTCTCTCTTGGTCTTGACATTTATCTCCATGACCCTGCCTGAGAATGAAGGCCAAGGGGAAGGTCCTACCTTTTGGTGTGGAAGGTGCCCTGGGTCTGGACAGCATGTGGCACCTAGGCTGGCTGCGTCCTGTCTTCTGCCCTGTCCTTGTTGGGACCCACAAAGCTGTGGAGTATTCCTACTGCCCTCTGTCAGGACAGAGGCCCTGTTAGCTCTCTAGAGCCCCCTCTTCCCCACCTTGCCGCTGCCCAGGGTCTGGCCCCACCCCTCAGCTCCCTCACTTGCACCGCCTTCCTCCACTACCCTAGCTTATGGACACCTTGCTACCCGTGCCTAGCTGGACAGGAGACTCCTGCAGGCCGCTGTCCTGGTGATGCTCATGATTCTAAATGCCCCTTTTTCTTCCTCTGCAGCTTCAGGCCCAGAGCCAACAAGAGACATCCGATGTGAATTCTGTGGTGAGTTCTTTGAGAACCGTAAGGGCCTGTCCAGCCATGCGCGCTCCCACCTGCGCCAGATGGGAGTGACTGAGTGGTATGTGAACGGCTCGCCCATTGACACACTGCGGGAGATATTGAAGAGACGGACCCAATCCAGGCCAGGTGGACACCTCCACCCACCAGGGCCTAGCCCAAAAACCCTAGCCAAGGTGGTGGGTAGCGGAGGTCCTGGCAGCTCATTAGAAGCTCACAGTCCCTCGGATCTTCACATCTCACCCCTGGCCAAGAAGTTGCCACCACCACCAGGCAGTCCCCTGGGCCATTCACCAACTGCTTCTCCTCCTCCCACGGCCCGGAAGATGTTCTCAGGCCTTGCTACTCCTTCCCTGCCCAAGAAACTGAAGCCTGAACAAATGAGAGTGGAGATCAAGAGGGAGATGCCGCCAGGGTCCCTTCATGGGGAACCACACCCACCTGAGGGCCCCTGGGGCACCCCTCGAGAAGACTTGGCTCCTTTGAACCTGTGTAAGTGTGACTGTGCCAGGGCCAGTAGACCAGTTGGCTGGATCTCCTCCCCATACCCGCTTAGGAGTATCCATAGATTACAGAACTGAAATGGGAGATACGTAAGTCCAAAGGACATAGACTCCTGTGCAGAAGAGGCAGAGTCATGTAATTATGTCTAATGCCTTCTTTAGCCAATTGGTAGTGGCCTCCAGCCAGATTCCTAAGGGAGAATAGCTGTAGGGATCCATTAGTGATGTCTGCCACTGGCTGGAGTGGAGGTATAGCATTCCTGTAATCCAGTGCTTGACATTCAGAGTCAAGTTTGAGTCAAAATCTATTTCACCATCATGTAGTGGTGAGTTGGGCAAGTTTCCTCAATTGGAAGATGGAAATCAGTATAATCCCTGCCCTGTGTCAGTACAGTTCTCTTGAGAATTAAGTGTGATTAAGCACTAAGCATGGTGCCTAGTTGCAAAAAGCTCCTTATGTATCATAATTGCTATCATGTCACTGTTACTTGCTTCCCTGGCACTTTGTCACTATTTTTTTCTTCCTGGGTTGATGGTCTATAAGCAGGAAGTGTGGCAGAGACTTCATCTTAGAGCTTATGCGCCAGCTCCCTGCTATGTGCACTGAATCCTTCTGATCTTAGACCTGCCCAGCAACATTGGGAAATGGGGTTTTCATGTCCATCTTGCCAAGAAGGAAACAGGCTCAGAGAGAGGAAGTAGCTTGCCCAGCCTCACTCAGGGAGACCTGTGAAGTCAGAATTTGAGGCAATAAGACAGAAGGGGTGGATGTACGCCATGCCTCTGAAGGCCCAGATGAAGTAGCAATTCAGTGGCGTCTGGAAGGAAGGGGCACATGGATAGGGACAGCCAGAAGGCTGGCACTGTCTTGGGCTTTGAGCTTGGAGGCTTCTTGCCCATAGTCACTGCCTCCTCCTCTTCCCCCATCCTGGACCCCTTGCAGCATCCAGGGCAGAGCCAGTGCGTGACATCCGTTGCGAGTTCTGTGGTGAGTTCTTCGAGAACCGCAAGGGCCTGTCCAGCCATGCGCGCTCCCACCTGCGCCAGATGGGTGTGACTGAGTGGTCTGTGAACGGCTCGCCCATTGACACACTGCGGGAGATCCTGAAGAAGAAGTCCAAGCTGTGCCTCATCAAGAAAGAGCCTCCAGCTGGAGACCTGGCTCCTGCCCTGGCTGAGGATGGCTCCCCCACAGCAGCTCCTGGGGCCATGCATTCCCCACTGCCTCTCTCACCCCTGGCTAGCCGGCCTGGAAAGCCAGGAGCTGGGCCAACCCAGGTTCCCCGGGAGCTCAGCCTGTCACCCATCTCGGGGGCTAAGCCCTCAGCCACCAGCTATATGGGCTCAGTGGCAACCAAACGGCCCCTACAGGAAGACCACTTCCTCCCAGCAGAGGTCAAGACCAAGACCTACATCCAGACTGAACTGCCCTTCAAGGCAAAGACTCTCCATGAGAAGACCTCCCACTCCTGTAAGCAGTGGGTGGTAGGGTCTTGGGATGGCATTTGTCAGGGCAAGCAGGGCCCCTGAGGCAAGGTCCCTGTGGGAGGTGGGATTAGTCCTGATCTTGCTTAGGCCACCTGGGTATGCCTGCACTCTTAGAACAGCAACCTCCTCTGTCTGTAGCCACCGAGGCCTGCTGTGAGCTTTGTGGCCTTTACTTTGAAAATCGCAAAGCCCTAGCCAGCCATGCGAGGGCGCACCTTCGGCAGTTCGGTGTGACGGAGTGGTGTGTCAATGGCTCTCCCATCGAGACTCTGAGTGAGTGGATCAAACACCGGCCTCAGAAAGCGGGCGCCTACCGAAGCTACATCCAGGGTGGCCGCCCCTTTACCAAGAAGTTCCGCAGTGCTGGCCATGGCCGTGACAGTGACAAGCGGCCACCCCTAGGGCTGGCACCTGGGGGCCTGTCCCTGGTTGGCCGAAGTGCTGGGGGGGAGCCAGGGCCTGAGGCTGGCAGGGCAGCTGACAGTGGTGAACGGCCTCTGGCAACCAGCCCACCTGGGACCGTGAAGTCAGAGGAGCACCAACGGCAGAATATTAACAGTAAGTGCTGGTGCAGGAGGGTTGGGAGGGCAGTAGACATCTTCTAGGGCTCATCCAACCACTACATCTCAGTTGCTGAATACCCTCCCCTTATCAGTATGCCATTCCACCTGTGCATATGGTGTCCAATCTTCTTCTTTTTTAAAAAATAATTTATTTAACTTTATTTTATGTGCATTGGTATGATGAAATCAGATCCCCCAGAACTGTAGATACAGACAGTTACAGGCTGCCATGTGGGTGCTGGGAATTGAACCCAGGTCCTCTGCAAGAGCAGCCAGTGCTCTTAACCACTGAGCCATCTCTCCAGTCCTGGTGTCCAGTCTTGAGTCCCAACAACCTCTGCCCCTTGTGCTCACTGAAAACAGGGGTGCCTCCAGGGCCCTAGCCCTCCTGTTCATCATTTATCCCTTTCTCTGCTTTAGAATTTGAACGCAGACAAGCCCGACCCCCAGATGCCTCTGCAGCTCGGGGTGGTGAGGAGGCCAATGACCTGCAACAGAAGCTGGAAGAAGTGCGGCAACCCCCACCCCGGGTCCGACCAGTCCCTTCCCTGGTGCCTCGCCCCCCCCAAACATCACTGGTCAAGTTTGTGGGGAACATCTATACCCTCAAGTGCAGGTATGCTAATACCTAGCTATGCCTTGGCTACTTGAAACTTAGAAATGTGAGTCTCTGTGCAGGTTGGGACATAGGGTGCCATGGGCTGTTTTTGGGTATGGTGGGGCCCAGGGTTTTGGGGTATGGCAGGGCTTCTCACCGAGCATTGGTGGCACATGCCCTTAATCCCAGCACTTGGGAGGCAGAGGCAGACGGGTCTCTCTGAGTTCAAGGCCAGCCTGGTCTACAAGGTGATTTCCAGACAGTCAAGTCTACACAGAGAAACCTTGTCTCTAAAAACAAACAAACAAAATCCAAAAAGCTTCTCCTTGATAGTGGAACTTGAGAGTGTCACCCTGATACCCTGAACTTTGTAACCAGACCGACTCACTTCACAGCTTGGTGACCTCAGACAAGAGCTTACCTGCTCCCTGCCTCCATGTTTCCACCTTTAAAAAGAATTCAGCCTGGTGTGGTGATACACACCTTTAACTCCAGCACTCAGGAAGCAGAGGCAGGTGTATCTGTGAGTTCAAGGTCAGCTTGGTCTACATAGGGAGTTCCAGGCCAGCTAGGGCTGCAAGGTAAAACCCTTTTTTTTTTTTTTTTAATATCATTCAGCCCTACTTGATAGAGTTATTATGAGCACTGAATTTAATACACAAGCACCAGATACCAGCAAATATGGACTTTTGAGACCTGAGGTGATTCAACTCAGGCTATATAGTACAGGCCAAGCTAAAAGTAGTATCCAAGCTGTGTGTGATGATTCAGGCCTATCAGCCTAGCACTTGAGAGGCTGAGACAAGATTGCCACAATTATAAATTCAGCTGTATTACATAATTTCTGGGCCAGTATGAGCTACAGAATTAGAGATCATGTCTACCTAAAAACCAAAGGAAAAAAAAGTAGAATTTCAACCCAACTCTCTGGAGCCCCAGAGCTCAAGCTCTAGGCATATGTTCATTGGAGGCCTAGCTTAAGGCTATCATAAGGAAGAGGAAGGATGGTTCTTGTGAGAGCTAAACAGGCTTTGCTTCTCTGTACCCACCATCATCTCAGTGCATACACATCGGTGACAGAGACGCTTGGAGAATCCCCTGCTTACCTAGCACTAAAGACTTCACGCCCAGCAGACTAGAAGAGGTGACTGTCCATTGGAAGATAGTTCTTCCCTTGAGTCTTGGTCTTGACAGATCTATACTGAGTAGTGATAGATATGACTAAGCAATTGGACTGGACTACACCCCTGCCTTTTTTTGAAGCAGTGGCTACTTGTGTTGTCTATTTTCCTGTACAGGTTCTGTGAAGTGGAATTCCAGGGCCCACTCTCCATCCAGGAAGATTGGGTGCGGCATTTACAGCGGCACATCCTGGAGATGAACTTCTCCAAAGCAGACCCTCCGCCTGAGGAGCCCCAGGCGCCACAGGCACAGACAGCCGCTGTCGAGGCGCCCTAACGTACAAGCATTCCAGATCCCTCTTGTACCGCCTGTCCCTCCTGTTTCTCTTTGTCCTCTTCCCCCATTCCCTCTTTCGTTTCCGTTTCCAAAGGAGCAAGCCAAAACCTCAAACCGGCGCCCTTTGGGGGCCGGGCACACTACAACCTGGGCGCCGGGAGCCAGCTAGCCACCCTCCCCCTAGCCTGAGGACTCTGGGGCCACAAGGGTACCCTCCTTGAGCCCACCTGGTTGGTCCAGCAGGGGTTGTAGCCAGGCCTTTGGTGGTGGCCAATCTGGTTACAGGGGAGAACAGCACTTCCCTGTGTCTAGCGACCAGGCAGGGCTATGTCTGCCATCCGTGGCCATTTGCAAAGACCCCAAAGACCCCTGTTTCCTCTTGTCCCCATGAATATCTGTTCTCACTCATGCACAGGCAAACGCACCCGCACACGCACACGCACCTCGTGAGACTTGGGATCTGTTCTAGCCCCCACAGTTCCCAAGTCAAACGACCAACCACATCATGCCACGGTGCTTGCTCAGGGGAATCCACGCTCCCTCTGCTAACCCACTAGGGCCTGGGAGCCCCCACTGAGCCCACAATGCCACGGAAACTCTTGTTAGCTGCCCCCCAAAAAGGGGCCTTCCTAGCTTGGAAAGAGCTCAGAGCTGACAGCTGCCTCCTGCCATGTCAGAGCCTCAGGGGCTCCAGGGCTGGGAGGGTAGAGTGAGGGGTGGGACTCTCCTCCCCCACCCCTACCACCCTCCCCTTTTCACTGTTGCTTTCTATGTATAGCTCCCTAGATCTTTCACTTTTTTAAAAAATGCGTTTTGTGTAGAGAATAAGGAACGTGGATCTTTTTATTTTGCAATCCTGGGCTAGCTAGATACCGGGAGCTAATTGACCTTTTAACCTTTTTCAGTGGCCATCTTTTGGTTAACAATGTACCTAGAAATATGTAAATTAGATTAAATTTCTCTTCTGGAAATACCCCAGGGCAGGCAGCCAGTGTGTGTTTTTCTGTCGAGTGGACAGGCTGGCACTGGCTGACAGCTGGGGCTGGGGATTAGCGTTGTGCCTGGCCAGAGTCCCTGGGTTTCCCTACTGGCCACCAAATTGACCAGACACAGATGAGGATAAGCCCAAGTTCTCAGCTGTTGGCCCTTGATACTGTGGATGGTGGGGGCTCTGGTTGCCTGGGGAATCGGCTCCCCTGAGTGGAGAAACCAGAGCTCTGGTTGGCTGGTCTGGGAAGGGAGCCAAGACAGAAGGGCTGGTTGGGTTTAACCAGCAGCAATAACATGCCTGCAGGAGTGATTCTGGCCTTGGTGCTATTACCAAGAGAAGGAATTCTTTGTAGGTGTTGGGTAAAACACACATCTGGGAGCTTTGGGTGGGAATGAAGTGGCAGAGTTGGGACTCAGCTATCTTTAAGATAGGACTTTAAATACAGCACTGGAGACCTTATCCCAGGCCTCAAACATTCCAAGGAAGTACCCTGCCACTGAGCTATCCCTTCCTGGATTCAAGGTAAATGTTAAGAAGAGACATAGGAACCCAAATAACAAGAAGGAAAGGAGTTTTGTTTTCGTTTTAATCATTTATTTGGTATTTCAAGACAGGGTTTGTGTAGCCCTGGCTGTCCTGGAGCTAGTTCTGTAGAGCTGGCTTTGAACTCAGATCTGAATGCTGGGATTAAAGCATGTGCTGATACTGCCTGGCCTGATTTTAACTTTTTACAGTGCCTTTGGTTTTTCCAGATAGGGTTTCTCTGTGTAACAGCCCTGGCTGTCATGGAACTCACTTTTTAATCCAAGCTATCCTTGAATTCACATAGATTGGCCTCCTCTGTCTCCCAAGGGACTAAAGGCCTGTACCACCATGCCTGGCTTACCCATATTTTCTTGCTCAGCTAATGTTTATTGAACATCTCTGAGGTGATAAGATTCCGTTGGCTCCTGTTGTTTATCTCATGTGTCTTTTCAGTTCATCGTTTTCACTACCCAGCCAAGTGGGAATGATCTCATGGGGTGTGGACAGCAGCAGGCCCCTACCCAACCCTGTTTTTTCTCAGCCTCCCGTACTGTGCCTCTCTGCCTGGGAAGGAGAGTTTAGCAGGCTGCTTTGTCTAGCTTGGGAGGGGAGGGTGAGGGTGTGTTCTTTTATTTGGTGGCTCTTCTCATCATCCACTGTCATTGGTAATATCCAAGATTGGAAAGAAGTGGACTTTCTCATGGTAAGAACTAACCCAAACATGTTTCTGTAGCATTTGGTGGTGGTGGTGGTGATGATGATGATGGGAGGTGATACCGGGTTTCTCTGTAGCCCTGGCTGTCCTGGAACTCACTCTGTAGACCAGGCTGGCCTCGAACTCCGAGATCTGTCTGCTTCTGCCTCCCGAGTCCTGGGATTACAGATGAATGCCACCACCACCCAGCTAAAAATCAATTTTTTAACATAAAAGCAATAGAGTGGATTTTGAAAGTTCCAATGACAGTAACATGGGAGGGCCTTCACACCCACTTAAGTACACTGATGACTGTGTCTCTGCACATAGTTAACATGGAAAGGTTTTCTTTATCCATTACTGTACACTGATAGCTGTCTCTGCAAGGGTCACCTACCATTCTTACAAGAGGGACCTTTTCCTAAAACTCCTAAGCATAACAAATCTTTGCTTAAGTGACTCTATGGTCTCAAAAGAAGCAGCCTTAACCTTTGAGTGACTTGATCTCAAGCCCTTAGGACATCAGAAATTAAAGAAAGTCTTGGGTGAAATGATGGCTGTGGCAAATGACACAAAGCAAACTACAGAATCTAGAGGAGATATGGGCCTTGTTTGCATGCCAGTGTGGCATCCCAAAGCAGTAATGCATGTGAAGCAGACCTCTGTTGCATGTTCTGCATTCACATGCAGAGTGCACTGCAAATGGTGGTCTTCCATGGGTATGAGGGCCACAAGGTCTGCAAAAGTCCATTTGGGGAGGAAGTGTTAGCCAGGTTTTTTATCCCGGATAAATGGTAAAGTGAGCCCTTGTTAATCATAGCACCATACCTCCCCTTCCCCATCTAAATTATGTCATACCAACAGTAATTCAGTATGTTTCTTTGAAGGATCTAGACTTTTAAAGAATACTGTTATTAGCCAGGCGTTGGTGGCGCATGCCTTTAATCCCAGCACTCGAGAGGCAGAGGCAGGCAGATCTCTGAGTTCAAGGCCAGCCTGGTCTCCAGAGCGAGTTCCAGGATAAGCTCCAAAGCTACACAGAGAAACCCTGTCTCGGGGAAAAAAGAAAAAAAAAATACCATTATTATTGTCCCTAAAGAAACTGGCTGGTAACAAGAAATGAGAGATGGCTCAGTGGCAAAGAGCACACATACTGCTCTTGCAGAGGATCTGGATTTGGTTCCCAGCACCCACATGGCAGCTCACAGCCAGTAACTCCAATCCAGGGTAACCAACACCCTCTTATGACCACCTCAGGCATCAGGGATGCACGTGGTTGCACAGACATACATTGAAGCAAAACATACATAAACCTAAAAAATTCAACTGATAACCATTACTTAATGCTAATATGACACCCTACTTTAAAATTTTCCCAAACCACAAAAGTGTATGAAGCACAGCTTGATGCAGTTTCCCAAATGTTAAGTTTTATTTACAGTGTTCCCTCCCACAATTATGAGATTGTCTCATGGTGACTTTCCACACAGCCAGGTATGGTGCTTAGAACAAGACTGGTACTGGGCTGTGCTTTTTGTTTTGTGGAACTGAGCATTGAGCATAGGTTCTCATATGTGAAGCATTTGCAATAATACATGATACATTTATGTATATTGCTTGCATAACAAATACCATACACAAACATCTAAAAAAAATTTTTTTGAGACAGAGTTGACCCTGGCTGGCCATAATCTGCTGTAAAATCAGCTGTGCTTGCACTCACAGAGAGATACTTTCCTGTGAGTGCAGGGATTAAAGGCATGTGCCACCAATACCAACTATTAATTTTTGAAACATGGTCCTCCACGCTTCATCTCCCAAGTGTTGAGGTTACAGGTGTGAGCCACCATGACCAGGTTTTGTCTATTTAAACGTGCATCTTTATATTTAGCCGTGTTGGGGACTTCACACAGGCCTTCCATTCATGCTAGAACAAAGTGCTCTACCACCGCGCTACATCCTCAGCCCTTACAACCCATAACAAAGATGTGTTATGTGATAAATAATGCGAAAATACGACTTTGTGAACCTGGTCCCAGCCTTTTCCGTGAGACAGTCAAAGTGCAACCTGGAGTCCCTTAGAACTCATATAGCATAATCTGACCTCAAACTCAAGGCCGTTCTTCTGCCTCAGGCCCCTGTGTTTTGGAATTACAGGAGTCACCTAACCACACGTGCCCAGACTCATTTATTTAAACTATCTCATGTAATATTTGTCAGATCTTAATTTTCTTATCTCAGTGTGGCTTTACCATTCTTGTGTAGGAACTGAAGGCCAAAAGAACACATGAACGGCTTTGATTAGCATTTCAGTGGTGGAGCTCAGGACAAACACTTGCACTACCACGGGCGCGCGAACGTCCAGCGAAGAGACACCCGGCGCCCGCCAGGCGTGCGCTCGTGCCACTGGGTTGCACGTAGCCCCGCCCCTCCGAACTCCACCTCTCCGTCGTCTCCACTTGGCCTATCAGCGCAGACTTTGGTCAACAGGAGGCGGTGGCGGGGCGGGGCCATCAGGGGTTGGCAGTGTCTCCGACCACTGTTGCGAAGAGGTGTGGAAATGGACAGCTAACTAGCCCAATAGGCGTGAAGTCCGAGGCTGACACAAGCCAGTGAGATCAGGGGGCGGGCTGGCCGTGTGTAGCCGGGGCCCCAGAGATTGTTGTGGCGTCAGACGCGCAGAGTAGCGGTCTGTGTCTGCGGCTCGCTCGTTCGCTGCCGCCATGAGCTACACAGGTAGGCCGAGCCGGGTGAAGGGCGCGCTCCGGGCCGGGGCGGGACAAAGACGGGCTGAGCCACGCCAGGCTCGCCCACGCCTCCCGTGGCGTCGCGGTCACTGCCCTCTGCGGTCACAAAATGGCGCCTCAGGCCCTTCGCTTCGGGGTCGCATCCCTCAAGCCTCGGCTCCAGTGGCCTCAGTCGGGCATCCCGGACTCCTGGCTCCTCCAGGTGTTGCTTGTGTCTTCTGTGACCCTAGGCCCCGAGCCTCGGCGTTAGGTCCCAGCTGCCACCGCCCACGTCTCTGGCTAGTGCCCCACGGACCTCCACGTCCTAAGACATCGCTTCTTAGGCCTGAGCTTTTGAGATCAGTCCGTTGTCTCAGCTGCTGTCGCCGTTGCCTCCCCCGCACAGTTTCGGTGCAAAACGTCGCCGATTCTTCCTCACTCCATTCCCCTCTTCATCTGGTCCAAAGCTGGGAGAAGCGCCAGGCCCCGAGGGGAGATTAGCAAATACATGAAGGGTCTGAGCTATGCAGGGAGCTTTAGGGACCGAGCTTGAAACCCTGGCGACGATTGACTATTTTCCACATTAATTCATTCAGCTCACCGAAAAGGTGATGAGTAGGCACTGAGAATACTGACAAAATTTCTTAAGCAGCTTATAGTCGAGGGCAGACATTAGTAGACCCATAAATGAGTGCTCACTATATTCTTGGGCCCTGGGTATCCTGAAGGAATCCAGCCACTCACTACATAGAGAGCTTTGAGGCCACTGGGAAGGGATGAGGTTTAAGACATGTAAGTGGAATGAGAGTGAAGATAGCTGGCCCAATAAGCTGTTGCTGCAAAACGTCCTGGACTGCAACAGCCTACCTCCTTAAATCTTGCTATCGGGAGATCAGTGGTATTTGAGCAAAGAGGAAAGTGGGTGATGAGCAGGATGAGGAGGTGTGGAATATGCTTGAGTGACTGTACATCATATCTGACTGAGCTGCCAAGACGGCCTGGGTTTGCCTTGGCAGTGACCAATGAATCTTATCAGTCAGAGCCATAGACAGTGCTTCCCACTTCGCTGTAGGTATTTCAGGCTTGAATTTATGTGGTTGCTGGGTAACTCACATTCTGCTGGGGAATGTTCAAGGCTTTGAATGGAACCTAAGCTTCTGTATAGGCTCCTTACGCCAGTACTTGATCAAAAGCTTTCGAAGAACCTTAGATTTTCTAACAACCATCCCCTAGGCCTGTGGTTCTCAGTCAGGGTGATTCTGCCTGCCTCCCACCTCTCGGGGACATTTGACAATATCTAGAGTCCTGTTTTGTTGTCTCATTTTAGAGTGTGGAGGGGCTGCTATGCAGTAGTGCTACCGACATCTAGTGGATAAAGGAGAGAGCTGCTGCTCTGCAGCCCGAAATGTCTAGTATGGCTTCCACCACCAATTTTTTTTGTGTGTGTGTGTGTGCTAAACATCTGAGGTTAAGGTAGAAGTGTTGGGAGGTTTTTCAGCAGTAGTAGTTAGAAAGGAAAGTCATTAGGTAGAACTCATGCTTAATATCTCTAGAATTAAGATGTAATACTCTTCACCTTTCTGATGAAGAATTGAAAACAGTTCTGCATTTAGAAACAGGGCTACTGAAGAACAAGAAGATGAATGAGTGGATCTTATGGGATAGCTTGATAATGGAATTAGTTCACTAATGGTCAAGTTTGAGTTTCAGCTCCAGGTTTTATAGGCTGTAACCCTGGGTTTTGTGGGCACTGAAGTAGCCAAGCTAATGAGATAATTAGTTTCTCCTTCCTCTCCTTAGACTAAACAGCCGGCAGTAACTTTATAATATGGTTCTTTTTTTAATTTCTTTTTTTTCTAGATTTTTAAATTTAAACTAGAAACAAGATTGTTTTACATGACAATCCCAGTTCCCTTCTTCCTATAATATGGTTCTTCCCCTTTAAAGAAGCCAACTAGAGCTGGGCGTTGGCAGTGGTGGTGCACGCCTTTAATCCCAGCACTCGGGAGGCAGAGGCAGGTGGATCTCTGTGAGTTCGAGGCCAGCCTGGTCTCCAGAGCGAGTGCCAGGATAGGCTCCAAAGCTACACAGAGAAACCCTGTCTCGAAAAACTAAAGAAGCCAACTAGAAAGCTGGGCTTTGTGGTACATTCTTATAATCCCAGCACTTGAGAAACAGGAATGTAAGTAAATTCAAGACCAGCCTGGGCTACATTAACTCTATCAAAAAACAAAAACTCATAAAAGGTTACTAAATTCAAAGAAATTTTAGGACACTTTTGTTTGTTAATAGTCTCACACTATAACTCAGGCTGGCTTTCCATCTTTTATATAATGTATCCCAGGCTGGCCTTGAGCTCATGGCAGTCCTCCTGCCTCATTTTCCTTTGTGTTAGATTAAGTCACTTTAGTATAACTTAGAGGTTAAGTCCTGTAAGCTTTGAAGTATATGCCACTGTTATTATGTGTATGTGCTTAATATATGGGTGTATGCATATGTGTGTGGAAGTCCATAGAAGCCAGAAGAGCATGTCAGATCCTCTGGAGTTAGAGTTACAAGTGTAGTGAGCCGATATGCAGGTGCTGGGAACTGAAAGAGCAACACATTCAGCTTTGGAACCCATCTCTAGTGTCAAGTGGAGAGGATTGGAACAGGAGAAAAACAGCAGGGTGGGGGGGATGGGGGGATCTAGAATCAGGCCTTCAAACAAAGGTCTGACATGTACTGGTCTTTTTATAGAACACTTATCTCACAGCTTCATTGGGTTCAGAATGCCACAAGTGCTGTAGCTGGTGGTTCTAGCCTAGGTTACATTTAGGGTGACAGTTGTCATCTGAAAGCTTGTCTGGTACAGGAGTCCCAACCTCTATCATGACTCAAACTCGTGTATCTGGCCAATTAATGCTAGCTGTGGTTGGTTTGCCATACGGGTTGCTCTGTAGGGCCACCAGAAGAACCCTAACAACATGGCAGCTGTTTTTCCCCAGACAAGAAAGAACACTCCAGAAGGCTCAAAAATCAGTCATTTCTGGCTGGGCAGTGGTGGTGCACGCCTTTAATCCCAGCACTCGGGAGGCAGAGGCAGAGGCAAGCGGATCTCTGTGAGTTCGAGACCAGCCTGGTCTACAAGAGCTAGTTCCAGGACAGGCTCCAAAGCCACAGAGAAACCCTGTCTCAAAAAACCAAAACAAAAAAAAAAAAAAGGAGAAAAAGTCAGTCATTTCTGCATGACTTAGTGGTCACACCAGCTACCTCTTTTACTCCAAATTGGGGGTGGAGGAGACTGTATCATCTCAGGAAGGCAGAATCCTTGCAGTTCATCTCAGAGGCTGGTTATCAGCATCCTTCTCCATCTCTCTCTCTATTTGCAACACTGGGGATGGAGCCTCGGGGTCTTCTGCATGCCTGACAAGTTCTCTCTCTCTCTCTCTCTCTCTCTGTGTGTGTGTGTGTGTGTGTGTGTCTCTGTCTGTCTGTCTGTCTGTCTGTCTGTCTGTCTGTCTGTCTGTCTCTGTCTCTGTCTGCCTGTCTGTCTGGTATTAGGGATACAGGTTTGCCCCACCTGTTAGTCCCTATCTCTAGTTTTTTGTTCGTGGAGAATTTAAGACTGCCTCATGTCTTAAACACAAACCCTTTGTTCTGCAGTTCTCTTGCTGAACTCAGAATATGTGTTTGTTAAGATGTGGCATTTCATTACAGTTACAGTATACTTAGCCTTCTACATCTGTAAGTTTTGTGTTTGTGAGTTCAGCCGGTAGAGGACTGAAAACATTTGGGGTGGGGGTGGGGAGTGTATCTCTATTAACCATGTGCAGACTTCTTGCCATTATGCTCTAAATGATACAAGCTCACAAGTTCAACACCTGTCAGGGTTACAGAGTGAATTTGAGGCCTGTCTGGGAACTAAGTGAATACATCTCAAAATGTCATGTAAATAAAAAGAGGACTGGAGATACAGTGCAGTAATTGAGTGCTTGCCTAATAAACAAACTACTCACCACACCATGGTGCATTCATGTAATTTGGGAGCAGGAGACAGAATTAAGGATTTGAGGTTATGTATCTAGACCCTACTGAGCAAGCCAAACAGGGCTAGAGATATGGCTCAATAGTGGAGTCTGAATCAGATCCTCACCATTGGGGGCAGGGGATCCTGAAAAGAAACCTCATTACATTACTCAAGCAATGCAGTGGACCTCAGAAATTACCATATTACATAAAGCCTGGGAGCATTTTGGTAGTAGTGTTGTTATAGACAGATTTAAAAAGAGAAACAAACAAACAAACAAACTGGAAGAGACGCCGCAGCCTCTGGGATCCTGGAAAAGGGGAAGCGAGAGCCGACTAGCGACAAAGTCCCCTGGCGGTGGCAGCCTGCACCAGCCATGCCGAATAAAAACAAGAAAGAGAAAGAACCACCAAAACCGGTGAAGAGTGGAAAAGGTTCAAAAGAAGGACAAGAAGCAGCAGAGACAGAGTGCAGCTGTCTAAGAACTGGAGCCACGGAGCTTGAAATGACCACTGAAAAACACTGAAATGTTGGGCACTTCCCTCCTTCCTCAGAAGGAGACTCTGGAGGCAACAAGGCATACTAAGCATGACACTTGGCAGATTACTGCAAACAGTATTTTTCAGGGACACAAATCAAGACTCATTAGTCCCGGGAACTCTTGAGTTGACTCCTCCTTTCTGACCACCATTTTCCTCCCCCAGGCTTTCAGCTCTATTCTTCTCTTCTAGTCCCACTCACTTACGGAATATGATTGACTCAGCAAGTGAATTAAGTCATTACCGCACACACTTTTCTTCTCCCGTTGCTCTTGAGTTTGAACATTTTAACCTGAACAGTTGAAATAGGTTGGTATTTCCATGTTGCTAGTTGAACCCTTCCAACATCATGTCTCCTTCATGAGCAGCAGGTGCTCACATTGCCTGAACAGTTAACACACTCAGGCTGGAGAGGAGAAAAGGGCAGGTGCCCAGCCTTGGATGAGTTGCTAGAGGCTTAGG